GGGCCCAACTCTGAGCCCTTTACATAAGGATTGGGTCTCAAAAAAGAGTCTGAAAATGGATAATTGAACTTAAGGGTTGTGCCCTTAGGACTAAGTCGCCTGTATTCCCATTATAGATGAGATGAGATTGATCATTGGCAGGAGCACACCCACATGCACAGAGAACTTCTTCCCTTGTTTGTGTTTATATGGGTTTAATATACTACAAGTTCACTACCCCTAGATGAAATATTTACACACATGCACATTGTAACATCCCAATTTAAATTTTAATAGTTAATTTGGTTTAATAGAAATTTTGAAAAAAAAATATTAGAGGTAAGCAAATTAGAAAGAAGATGATTGTTAAATCTAATCAGGATATAATTCTAAATTAAAATTTAAAAAAATAATAATTAATTAATTAATTAAAAAATATTAAATTATTATTATTATTATTAAAAAAAAGAAAATGTATAAAGAAAGAAAGAAGAAGAAGAGAGAAGAAGAAAGAGAAATTGTGCTTTCGGTGCTCTCCCACGGCAATCATGACACATGTATATATAATAATAAAAAAAAAGAGAGAGAGAGAGGAAGGAGGAAACAAAAAAAAACATGTAGGACCCGCAGTATTTTTTTTTAAAAAAACCACCCTCTTCCTTCGTTTCTTCATTTCATCCTTGTAGCGAGTGAAGGCAGAGAGCGAGCGAGAGAGAGCTAGCGACATTGATGGAGAGGTTGATTGATTTAGAAGGTGAAGTTCCATAATAGGATACTTCGTATGAGATTTTAAGTATTCTAAAAATAGGTAAGTGTTCTAAACATTTTTCTTAGTCATATTTTTTTTTGGTTTCTGTTTGTGGTGGTAGAAATTTAGGATTTGGAAGAGGGATGAATTTATGTTGAATAAATATGGTTTTGAGGTTGTTAGTAGTGTAATAAATATTTAGAGTATTATTTGTTGATAGAATTGGAATTTGACGCATTTGAGTTTATCCCTAGATTTTTATGGGTAGATTTTGTTTTATGTTAATAAATCTGAAATGTAAATTGATTGTTGATATTTAGATGATTATTTGAGATGAGAAATAAATTATTATGGCTATAGAATAATGATTCTAGGCTTGAAATCAAGTTTGCAATTTTTGAGTATTTTTATGTGCGAATTTTTGGAATAAAAAGAGAAATTTTGATATTAGAAAAATATTTGAATGAAATTATTGTGAAGGAGATTATTGAACCAAGTAGATAGGTTCAAATACATGAAATTAAATTTTAGAATTCAAGAGACTAAGACTAATTTTTTAAAATAAATAAATAAAAATAAATAAAAAAATAAAATAAAATAAATACTTAGGTGTTAGAGTATGAGTGAAAATTGTGTTAATAATATTATTGACACATTGGGATATGATCAATTGTAGATTAATTTTCTTTTGACACCATTCAAGCTTTGGAAAGCTTTGGAAGTGTTGTAACTTGAGGGGTAACCTTTGACCTCTCAAAGGTTGAGGTAACCGCGAAAAATCTATTTTATACATTTGTATATTAATTAATTATGTTGGTGAAACAAAAGAATATATATATATATAAATTTGAAATAATTGTTTGTAATGCATGTGGCTTTGTTGAGACCTTATAATTTGTGACCAAGTTAAGTAATGAGATTGATGTTGATGATGATGTACACAATCTTGACTATAAATTATGAATTATACATATGAGTTTTTAAAATGTATTTTTTTATTGGTATGATCATATGGCGGGAGTTCACCTTAGTGAAGGAGTTAGCGATTACACAAAATCCATATGGTACTTGGCTATTAACCAATAATCCTAAGGGTTATAGCCGCTACTTACCTTATAAAGTACTGTAGCATTGTTCCTATTAAGGGACTTGACCCTACTGGCCTACCTGGAGTTTTGGGTAGAGCTAGTTTTGGGTATGACACCCCATGGTGTGTGATTTGGGGGAAATCATGTTCATAAGTGAGTAAGGTAACCCTGACCCGGTAGCCCCTCATGATATGATTAAGGCTTTGGGTAGTCTCACCACATGAATGATCCCTTCCAGTTGTTGGCCCACGGATTTCATGTCAGAGGAAATAAGGGGGGATATAAGGAAGAGATTGATTATGCATATTATTATTATCATGCCATTTGAGTGATTGAAGGCTATGTTGAGAATATGATTATAATTGTAGAAATGAAAACATGTAGTAATTATGCGAATAATGTATATGTGGCTAGTTGTGCAAATTTTATACTTGACTTCATTCTTGAAATTATTCACATGAGTTAAATGTTAATGTGATTAATATGTTATTAATGTGATTGTTTGAATGGTCACCTTGATAAATTTATTGGTCACTGCATTCATGATTAATTATCATGCATTTGTATAACTTAGATATACCTTGATTACTGAGTGGTTGTACTCACCCTCTTTTTTAACATATTACAAGAGCTAGCTCGTCTGAGAAGAATAGAGGAAAGGAGCATTAGGCCAAGTGATAATAATCATTTCCGTAGGCCTCTCTCCTTTTATTTGATATGTGTATTTAGTTTATGATATTGCCATCTAGGATAATATATTCTTGATCCACTTGCATTATGGTTTTTGTGTTGGGAAAAATGTATTTTGGGCCCTGGGAAATGTGGTTTGATGCTTGTGCTATAATTACGGGCCAAAATATTTGTGCAGGTAAAAATAGTTATTATCATGCTTCCGCATATGTTTAATTAAATGATATGAGTTCTTAAAATATTTTAAAGACTTGCGATCCCTTTGTATTAAATAGTTTGTAAAAAAAACAATACATGTTAAGAATTCATTTAGGTTAATCTCGTAATGAATAATCCATTTGGGTTAGTTCTTGATTAACCATGATTAGTGTAATGATTAAGTCTTAATTTAGGACGCCCTTTTACACACATAATGTTCCCTCTTATTTTACTTATAAAGTAAAAAAAAAGTTTTTTGTTCTCTTAATCAGTTATGTTATTAAATTTTTATTATAATTTTTATTATAATTTATTAAATATTGGTGAGAGAAATATGTTATTAAAGCATATGTATTTAATTTTTAAATAAAATTAGTGAATTTTTAATTTTTTTATTTTAATGAAACATGTTAAAAGTGATTTATAAGTAAGACTAAAATTATATACTCTTATTAATTACAGTGTTATATGTACTCTTATTAATATATTTTAAGTAAGAATAAACCATACATTTGATTACTTTATTAAAATATTTTCATTTTTAAAATTATCACTTCAATGGTAATAATTTAGGAAGCCTTTGTAGTTAGATTACTTGAATTAGACTTGAGAGTTATTTGTTCATCAAATATATTGAAAGTAACTTAGAAATTAGGACTTGTGAATGTTTTAACAAATTGTTATTGTTAATAATATTAACACATAACTATCATTAGTTTTAAAAATTTTATTTTATTTTTTAAAAAAGTAATTTTAAATAATATAAAAATCAAATTAACAATATATATGTGTACGTTGGGGGGTGGGGGGGGGGTTCCCGTCCCTGATCGTTGCCAAGCAAAACCGAACAAGAAAAGGAACTTGTTCTGTGAAATGAAATTTATTTACTCTGGTTTTTTTCAAACAGTAGTGGTTAGTTTTTACTTTCCTCAGCTGTCAACCATAGTGGGTGTATTTGGGGTCATCAAATCAAAACTATACCAAATGTAATTTTCGAAGTTGTTCTGGTTTGTTCCTGACCTTTATTGAACATATGGCACCTTTTGACTTCTTTAGTTCTATCCTTTTATTGCATGGATTTCAAGAATGTGATTTCCTTTGGATTGCTAGTGCACGTTGTTCTTGGCAAGCAAAAGAGAGAACTTCTTTTGTGAAATCAAATTTTGCAAGAGAGAAGAAAGAGGAAAAAACCGAAGACGAGTGAAGCTGCCACTGCCATGCTGTGTTTCAGGGGAAAAAACATAGAGCAATACAGGAGAAGATGGTGGGAGCCGTTTCGTCGGATGATGACGCTAATTTTGTATAGAGAAACATATTAAATTAATTTATGTTTTCTTTTTAAATTTTTGTTTTAAAAAACAGTAACGTAGACGGTGAAAGAATGGATTAGTGGTGGTGGAACGAAGATTATGGAACTCGTCGCAGCTGGACTGAGCTAGCTCGGTCAATTCGCTGGGGTCGGGGATGGACCCCATACTGGGTGAACTGTAGTCATTTTGCGTGTTTTCAAGTGAGGGTAATATGGTCATTTCAGTGAGGAATATAATTACAAATGAGGCCCGTAGAATATCAGATTTAATTGGGCCTTGGGTGTGAATTTGTCATTTCTGAGGGCCTTGCCTGTGATTCTCCCGATAATATAACCTTGGCACCGGGCTTTGGGGAGTGGGACTCGCGAGAAATCTCGCAGGTGCAGCAGCAGCATAGCGAATGAATGAAAGATAAGTATTGTGTTAGTCAATAATCGATGGTCACGAGGGTTTCAGGCTTTGGCAACGCCATAGCTCCAAATCCCTTCACAATATTCTTCTTCTTTGCTAATTGCTAGTGATGAAGGACATGGAATCTACTAAATGGCTCCAACCATCAATCGCCATCTTCCTCTCATTCTTGATCGCCACTCGTGCTTACAAAAGAAAGTCTCTCAGCCTTTCTGGGGCGATTTCGGGTTTCGTCGTTATGGCCATTCACATTTCCATTGGATACAGGTCCTTCTTCACTTCTTTTACTTTTTTATGTGGCTTTTTGCTTTTTTGGGTTTCATCTGGCGTAGATTTAACGTCTTCTTTTTCGTTCTTTCTTTCTTTCTTTTTTCTTTTTGGAAAAAGATTTGGGGCTATGCTGCTTGTGTTCTTTTTCACTTCGTCTAAGCTCACGAAGATGGGAGAAGATAAGAAGCGAAAAGTTGACCCTGAATTCAAAGAAGGCGGACAAAGGAATTGGTGTGTTGTTCTCTGTCTTCTCTCTCTCGGTTCAGTGTTAATGTGTTAATTGGTAGTGTTGCTGTATTGTTCTTGCTTAAGTTCAACTGCATTACTTTTACATCTCTCACAAGCAATGGCTTATTACAAAAACTGAGATATGTTTTTTTGTGAAAAATTGAGAAAAGATCTTTTACTCTCTTGTACTAAATCGTTTACTAGGGGTTCTTTGAAAAAAATAAATAACGATATTCATTTATTAGGGGCGGCCTATAGGAAGATGTGAATAGGGAGAATAGTTGCCTTCAAAACAAATGTCATGTGGGTCAGGGGAATTTATTCTCTTGGTCTCACGGGGTTGTTAAACCTTAAACTCAGTTGCTACTTGCTGGCCTAATTTATTAGGAGAAGCCATATTTTTCCTTGACCTAAATTTTAACTTCAAAACTGGTACAGGAACTTCGAAATGCACCCAAAAAAAAAAAAAAAAGGCAACAGAAAGAAAATCATAATCTTTGGACATAAATCAAAATGTTAATTTACTTTTAAAATTAACAAATCGAAACTGCTTCCTTCAATAATTTTCACATAATACTGCTGAGAATAGTGAAAATGAAAATAAAACACATGGCCTACTGCATTTGATGTTATTCTTGTCTTAAGTTCAAGCAGTACCTTTGTTACATTTTAAAATTCATTTAAAGAGTAAATCATAGTTCTAGGGTGTAAAATGTAGTTTCCCCTAACGAATGGCTTTCAACCAAATACTACCACAACCACAACAATAACAAACTTTATACCATTAGGTAGGGTTGATCATAGGGATTGTACGACGTTATTGTACTCTATTATTTACTAAGTTTTTAGGAAAGTTGTTAATTGATAAATCATAGTCAACAACTTCCATAAATGTTTTCTTTAACCTTCTTCTATTCAAAATTATTCATTTTACTTTCCTCATTGGTGCCTCTTACAGTCTTCTTTATATATGTTTAAATCATCTCAAATGATTTTCAACCATTTTTCCCTCAATAGATGTTATGACTATTTTTTTTTCGTATATGTTCATTTTGAATTTTATTTTTGTGTTTATGCTCACACATTTATTTTAACATTCTCATCTCTACTACTCCAATTTTATGTTGTTGTCTTGTTAAAGCCTAGCATTCACTATCATATAACATAAGTGATCTTATAGCAGTTTAATAAAACTTCCCTTCAAATTTATTAGGTACCTTGCAATCACAAGTAATTTCTTTAGCCTTTTTTCAATTAAATCACCTAGCTTGTATTCTATGTGCAACATCCCCATCAACTAACCCATTAGGTTAAATAATAACTTCTAAATATCTAAACATTTTCACTTAAAGTGTAATCTAATTTTTCAATTTCATTTTCAAATTATTGCTGACCGACCATTTATCAAAATTACAATAAAATATTCTTTCTTGTTCCTACTAAGATGGAAACTTTTTGACTTCAATATTCTTCTCCATAATTTAACTTTATAGTTAAGCTATTCTCTTATTTCCACAATAAAAAACTATATCATTCGCAAAAAGTATGCATTCGGGGATTTTCTCTTGGTTATACTTAGTCAAAATATTTAAGATTAGGTCAAACAAATAAGGATTCAAAGATGATTTCTGACGTAGTTCAATCCTTATAGGTAAGTCCTTTATTTCATTATCTGACATTTTTATACTAGTTGTTACCCTTTTACACATATTTTGTATAGCTTTAATATAGGCAACTTGGACTCCAATCTTTTCCAAGGGTTAGCAAAGTATTTTTTTTTTTTGTTTTTTGGTACGTGATCATAAACTTTTTTCAAATCAATGAAAACTATATGTAAATTTTTACCTTTGCATTGATACTTTTCTATTAATTCCCTTAGTAGATAAATAGCTTTTGCAGTCACCATACTTGGCATGAAGCCAAATTAATTCTCAGAAATGCTAGTCTCCAATCTTAACATATGCTCAATCATTCTTTCCTACAATTTCATGATATGACTCATAAGTTTACTCTTTTTGTAATTAGTACAATTTTAAATATCTTGTTTATTTTTGTAAATGGGAATTAAGGTGCTTTTCCTCCAATTATTAGGCATTTTCTTGGACTGTAAGATCTCATTAAATAACTTAGCTAGCCACTGTACCTTTTCTTTACCTAAATATTTTCATTCCTCAATAGAGATACAATTAGGCTCATTAGCTCTATCATTTTTCATTTTCTTTAGAGCTTCCTTTATGTCATTATTGCATATCTTTTGATAAAATGATAATTGTTGTTTTCTTTTATGAGTTATTAAATCCTATAAGTTACTAGATGAACCCCCTTCATCATTAAAAAGTTTGAAAAATTAAGTCTCATCTGTCTTTAATATCACCATCTATGACCAAAACTTTTCCCTCTTCATTTTTTATGCACCTTGTTTGTTCCAAATCTCTTAATTTTCTTTCATACTCTTAGCAATTTTATAAATTTTTTATTTTCCATCCTTTGTCCTAAAACCATTGTAAAACTCTTAAAATAGTTTAGAATGAGTTTCGCTCATAGCTTTTTTAGTTTCTTTCTTAGCCATACAATGCTTTTTCCAATTTTGATCATTATTGTACAAATGGATGACTTTAAAACACCCATTCTTATTTTTGACTTTTTACTGTACATTATCATTCCATTATTAAGATTCCTTATCTATTAGACCAAAATATTTTGATTCTTTCAAAACTTCTTTAACAATCTTTCTTACCTTCTTAGTCATATCCTTCCCCAAAATGCTAGTATTTCCTTGGGACTCCTAGATTTGTTCGACTAAAAGATTTCGCTTGAAAATTTCCCTCTCACCTTTTTATTACCACCATCTAATTTTTAGAATTATCACTTGTTAGTGTTTTTGATTTTTACTCGTGATATGCACATCAAGGACAATGACCTTGTGTTGTGTTGTTACGCCATCCTCAGGAATCCCCTTACAATTTTTATAGAGTGTTCTATTCATGTTCCTTACTAAAAGGAAATTAATTTGTAACCTTAAGGCTCCATTTTTGTAAGTGATAAGATGTTTGTCCCTCTTCTTTAAACAAGTGTTAACAATTTTGAAATCATATGCGAATGAGAAATCAAGAATAGATTGTCCTTCATGGTTTAGCTCCTCAAAACCAAAACCTCCATGCACCCTTGTATAGTTATTTGCTTCCCTTCTAACATGACCATTAAAGTCTTCTCCAATAAAGACCTTTTTATTTTGTGGTATGCATTGAATTAACCCCTCCAAGTCTTCCCAAAACAATTTCTTAAGATTGGCTTTTGTCTCGGGTTGAGGTGCATGTGTGCTAATAATATTAATAGTCTCATATCCAACTACAATTTTTAAGGGAATAATTTTGTTCCCAATTTTGTTAACTTCTACCATGTTTTTCTTCTATTTTTTATCAACAATGATACCCACCTCATTCTATGTGCTTACTTTCCTTGTATATTAAAGTTTGAAACCTTAAACATCCTTAGCTTGTTTACTAGGCCATTTAGTTTCTTGTAGACACAAAACATTAATTTTTTTATGAATCATAACTCTTACCACCTTCAAAGATTTACAATTCAAGGTCTCAACATTCCAAGTATTGAACCTAATCTTACTCATATGGATTAACTTCTTTAGCCGCTCTTGTTCGGAATAACATGATAGCCTTTGCTCATTTAACACTATATTAGAGGGCCAATGCAATGGCTTTAACTCATGTTACTGCATTCAAGCCATGCAACATGTTACTTACTGGCAATGACCTAGTATTGGCACGAAAGCATCTATTGTTCATGTCTATGTGAGATTCAACAAAGTTTTACGTTAGCTATTGAAGGCCTAACACAACTTTCCTCTTTTACTGAGTTTAGGACCGGCTATAATCATAAATGGAGTTAATGGCTTTCAACCAAATAATCAGCTTATTTAGTTAAACAAGCTAAGTTTGAGACTTTTGATCCCTGGGTCACAGTGCTCACTATTGATGGCCATTTGAATAAATTAAAAATCATACATGAAGTACACATACAAATATATAAAACTGAAACAAAATCAAATGAAGTCTATTTCAATGGAAGCTGAAAACTTTGAGACATAGAAGCAAGAGCTGGACTAGGCAATAAAAAAGATGAGAATGTGAAAAGTACAGACAATTGATCCGGCTGAGGACATTTGGAATTTGCTTAATGCTTTCAAGGGGACTCAATGGCATTCCATGTGCTGAGAGGCCAAGTTGGAGCAAAATGGTCAAGGAATGACAGAGAGTACAGGTTTTTTTCTCACAAGATCTTTCGACAACACGTACCAAAAGCCACATTTCCTTATTAAATCATTATCCCTTTGGCTGTGGCAGGAAGAAACGATAGCCAATGAGAAAATTTGCCATTCCTTGCTGTGGTGGACGCCATATCTGCCATTTTTATAGTGTATATAGCAGGCACCAAAGTAGAGCTGGAGGGATGTCTCCCTGTCTTCAAGGGTTTATTGCATATGGGCTTCTGGTTACATCTTTCCACACTGTGGTCGTGACAGCAAACATTGACAACACAAATGAGATAGTTCTTAATTTTTTAGGAGTTTAATTTATACATGTGCAAAGATACATACAACATATTTACAATTATGTTTGAATTTTTTATTTAAGTTTTGGCTTGAATTTGGGCTTGGTGTTTTTTGAGCGAACAGATTTGAGCGTACTAATGGGTGGCTCAACTTGATTACATAAAATTTGTTTTGGGCCTTGTGGTTTTGCAGGAAATCTCTTTAACCACTTTTATTTACTTTTTAAATTTATGGTATTTGAAATTCATAAAAGGAATTCATTCTATATATTGTGGTCACTGCTACTTTCACAAACGTAAAAATATACAGAAGTAAATTATAGTTGGTGCTACTATTTATTTACTATCTGACCGAGCTCAAGAACCCTGTAGCCTGCAACTAACTCCATGCATATCTGCTATCAAATACAAGGCGTATGACGCTACTCCCTGACAATTTTCTTCTGCTTCTGTTTTTCAGGATACAAGTTATATCAAATAGTGGCATTGCCACAGTTTTGGTCATAATTGTATGGAAATTGACAGAAGGGCAAGATAAATGCTTAAATTCTAGAGACTCTGCTCTGATCACCTCTCTTATTGGTGGCATCATAGGCCATTATTCCTGCTGCAATGGAGACACTTGGTCTTCTGAGCTTGGAATTCTAAGTAAGGATCAACCTCGCCTAATCACAACCTTTAAGGTGTAGAATCTCTTGGCTGCAACTGTACATGCATTAATTTCTCTATATACTTTTATTTGGCTTCTTGTTTAATTTTAATACAAATGCATGATTATTAGCCTGTTCGGAGAGGTACAAATGGTGGTGTGACAAAAGCAGGACTTCTAGCAGCTGCAGCTGCAGGGATTGTCATTGGACTGTCGTTCGTTCTTCTGGGACTTCTAACAGTCAGATGTGATTCTGATGTGGCCCTTAAGCAACTACTGGTCATACCTATCTCCTCCCTGGCAGGCCTTGGTGGAAGTGTAATTGACTCCCTATTGGGTGCAACATTGCAATTCAGTGGATTCTGCACTGTTCGCAATAAGGTAAAATTAGTTTTGTCCGGAGCAAGTTAGCTTAGAGCACTCGTCCTATCTTCGGTTAGATGTTATAGATTTGTTATGTGAAAAATTTTCTACTTCATTCGCAGGTTGTTGGAAAGCGAGGACCAACAGTTAAAAAGATCTCTGGTCTCAGTATTCTTGACAATAATGCGGTGAACCTTGTCTCCATACTGTTGACCTCAATTTTAACTTCGATTGTTTGTTTGTACACCTTCTGAACTCATTGGTACGTATTGGGCTAGTATTCAATCATATATCTGGCAAGTAGTTGTTTATAACAAATCCCAAAATTCATGTGCTTCCCCGCTTTAATTTTGTTGTTGGCCCTCTCAATCCTAAGATGGATTGAAAGTAGGAACCTTGCACTTGAAAGGTTGTTTTAGTTTTGAAATTATGTTGATCTCATCCTGATGAGTTTGACTGCGAAGACTAAAGTACTCATTTGACACTTTTTCACAGTTTCTCTTGCCTCAGATAATGTAATGTCTTTTTGATACGCTTATTATCTGCGGCTCCAATGCGGTTTGACTACATTGGATAAGTTTGTAGTTTTGAAACAAATTTATAGTTTGACTATTTTTACCACTTACCCTTTGGTTAGCTTGGTGTGTTAATCAATCATTTAACAAAGTCTTCAACAGATTTCATGGCAAAATTTAAACTATGCAGAAATTATTATTCAGGTTTTGAAGTTAATTATGTCTAACATCTTTAAAAACTATTTTAAAATTTTCGGTCATTCATGCTATATATATTTAATTTAACATTTAAATTATAATTATCTTTCTAATTTTGTCTAATTTTGTTGTTGAGTTGGTACATTATGATGAGTTGGACATTACATGAGCCAAATGGCTATTAGTTTTTTTGCTTATTTAAATTTACCTTGACTGTTTATGTTTTGCTTTATGTTAAATCCTATAAGGTAAGATTTAGATATTTAGCCTTATATGTTTAATGCACTTTTATCCAATTAAATAAAAAGTGGATTTTAAATTAGGAAGAGTGAAAGTTAGGTCCCAAAAGAATAAGTTAATTTTTACAAAATGAATTATAAATGTCAATTTAAATAGTTACACATAAACATTTATGTTATAATCTAATTGTAATATTTATTATTTAAATATTTATATGCAATTAAAACTCTTAAATCTGTAATAATTTGGATTGATATTTTCAATTTATTTTTAAAAAAATTTATTGGAGATTCAACTGTCATTAATTTATTTTTTTGAAATCTAATTGTCATTCTTTCTTTAAATTATTAATAATATTAATAATAAAAATTTGTTATTGAATAAATAATATATAAAAGATTAATTTATCTTAATTTAATTAAAAAAGACCACCTTAGTGTTGTAAGTTAGACGGTAGGATGTTTCATATAGAACCTTAAAGGGAGGGAAAACTATGAAGAAAAATATTTAAAATAATAAAAAATATAAAGTGTTTTTAATATTTCAAGCTATAATTATTACATTTTTTTTAAAAAAATGTCTTTATTAAATAATTATTTTTTATTTATTTTAAATTTAAATATTTTATTATATAAAAATAAATATAAAAAGATAGTATTAATTTAAAAATAAAAAATATTTTATTAAGAGGTGATGTTTGATTAAAAATATTTTATATTTTTAAATTGGAGTAATATATGTCCTGCTTTTTTATTTACTGTAATTGATTTTTAATTTTAAAGAAAAAAGAAAAGAAAAAAGAAAGAACAACGACGTAATATAATGCGGAAAGTCTACGGCAATCCAAACGCAAAAGAGTGAAAGTAGATGACACACGCAATGATGATTTGATGACAGGAAACCATAAAGCGAGGACAAAGCAATAATTACACGAGGAAATTAACTTTCGTAATTATTTGGCAGCAGCAATGACATTAATCATCGAAGACGATGGGAAAACAATAGTAACAGCAATATCACTACTTTTATCTTTTAATATGTTTTAAAAGCTTTTGCTTCAAAAAAAAAATGCTTAAAAGCAATACTAATATATGAATGTTGATTTAGTTGATAAAGATTTAACTTATATTTCCTCCTTTCTTATATATAAAATATTTTTTAAAAATTTATTTTGTCTTTAAATATAAGAGTTGTCAATGATATTTTTAAATAATTAGACAAATTGATCTTTGTCTTGAAAAATAAAATAAATCATTAATTATATATTTTTCTATCACGATCATGATATTAATTATGATAGTATTAGAGGTAAAATTAAAAAATTATTATGTTTTTATATGAGTTTAACTAAATAACAAATCTTTATTGTTATGTGGGATTCAGTTAAAAATATTTTATACATAAGCATAGAGGAAGTAACTTATAAAATTATATATTTAAATTTCACTATCGATATGAAATTTTATTGATAGATGATTTGTAAGTATTGTAAGTGTTTGTTGAATTTAGAAATAATGTCATAACCTTGATGAGCTCCCGCCACTCAAGTTGCTTAATTTTTTTTTTTGATAAAAAGGTATTTAAAAAAAAAAAAAAGAAAAAGCAGCGCCATACATGTACAAATAACAAACAAACCAAAGCTAATCATGAAGGTTAGTTCAATTAGTGTGAGTTCAGTTCACATAGTAATAAAGTTTAAGTTTGAATTTCGCTGCAACACAGAGAGTTTAGGGCTTATATTTATAAGGATTGATGAAACTACTATATGTTTATGAAACTTACTTTTACATTATGATAATTTTTCAAAATCAACTCTCCTAAATTTTTATATAAAAAATGTAAAAATATATTCTCTAGTTTTGATTATGATAAATTTAGAGAAGTTTTTTATTTTTTATTTGTGTTTAATAGGATTAAGTTACCCTAAAAGATTAAAAATAAAATGTTTGAAGGCTTAACTCAACCAATTTCGTGTTTTTCATGGTTGCCTTCCTCAATTTTGAAATTCTCTTATAATTTTCGAAACTCTCTTCTGAAGTTTTCTAAACTTTGTGCATTCAAAATCCTAATTCCAATATAATCTTCAATAGGCGTTTTGATTCCATCTTGATTCTCTCAATCTCTCATATTCAAATGTTTGATTCCAAGACTTGGTTTTAACCAGATTTGTTGAATCCTGATTTTGATAATTATAAAATAAAAAAGTGTTTAGTTTGTAGATGATTATGTGTATTTGAAAACTTAAGAAACTTAGAACTGTAAGTTTAATCTCTAACTCTTATCCTAACTATATCCTTTCATTCTCATCTTTTTCTCATAGAAGCCTTGCGATAAGTATTTGATTTATCTCAGTTCATTTTGAACAAGATCATTTTGTGCTTGAAAAACATTAAAATTTTAATGCTGAGTGTTTTTTTATTCAGACCAGCATGTATTGGTTCATACTAGTATCAAGGGTCTTATACGCCTATCTCCAAGGTCATATTACAATGAAAAGTCTTTTGTCCATTCAAGAGTTTCATATTAGTATCATTGTTTTCATATTGGTATCAACAGCTTGATACCCTTATTTTCTACTTCATATCGATATGTATCTTAATCATTTTAATTCTTGTTTCATACTAGTACCAATGTGCTTTATACCCGTATGAAGTTCCATACCCCCATGAAACTTCTTTATACACGAATGAAATGTATCCAAACATCGTCTTTTACAATGTTTACTTCGGTAGAAGTTACTTAATACTTGTATGAGTGTCATTCTCTCTCATAGTCATACATCCATATTCATATCGGTACCAAACACTTCCTACCGGTATCAACTTGAAGATTTTTACTTTGTTTTTCATATACAGAACAAAGCATCCTTTCTTAACTCATATCTCATTCAAACATCATTTCTTTTAGTTCCTTTCTATTGTAATCTTTATCCTACCTTTATAAAATACTTCTAACACAAACATAGGTTTAATTTAACATGCTATCATATCTTGATCTTTTCTCATACTAGCATCAAGTTTATCCTTCTAGTATCAATCCTTTCTACTTTTTGTTAAAGCATTTAATTCATATAGCCATTATTTTCCTTGAGGTACCAACAACACATAAACCCATCAGAAAGCACTATTTTATTGCCTCATGTAACATCTTGGAATTTTAATCTGAGAAACTAATTACTAATTAAAGGATAAATTAGTCATTTAGTGGATTAATTAGATAATTAAGATTTTGGATGGCAATTTGAGGTTCTGACTCTTTGAATTGTTGGATGTATAGGATCGGGTGAAAGATCAACATTCCAGCGTGAACCATGCAAGTATGGTGAAATTTTCCTCACGTGTCACATGCCGTGGCACATAGCACAGAAATCTGATTAACAAGGATGTGACTCAGCTCATGGAAGAGAAGGAAAGAAAGGAAAAGAAACGTGAAGGAGAGTAGAAGGAGAAGTGTTTAGCTACAGCAAGAAAGTTTAAAGCCTCAGGAGATATTTTCAACTAGTCGCTTGTTAGGTAAGTTTTGTACCACCTTAAGCTCTGATTTTACACTATTTCTCTTAATTTAAGTTATAGAGAAATTGAATCAAGGAGTTTTAAGGGGTTGTTTATTTACCCTTCTATAATAAAAAGAATCTTCGGAGTTGAATTAAGTTTTTACGACTAATTTGAAAGTTAATGGCTAAGCTATGAATATATAAGCTTAACTTAGTTTAAATTGATAAGTTAGAAAGGGTGAAATAGTGGTAAGGAGTATGTTAGAGTAGATAGAAGTGATAGGAATATGTGATAGGGCGATAAGAACATGTAATGGGTAAATGAGAGTGTTTGAGTGATTGATTGTGACAATTAGTACTTTTGATCAAATTGATAACTAATAGTGTTAGTTGTGTAGATTGGCATAGTTTGCATGTTGTTCGGCGAGAAAGGAGTTCAAAAAAGATTAGTTCCATAGGTAACCTTTCTAAGTATAAAAGGGTTGAGGTAGTCAGATAATTTATTGTGCCCATTAATTAATTTACTATTTATAAGTGAATGCTAGTATGATTTATGATTGAAATTGTTGTTTTGTTTAGAGTTTCATGTTTTAAATGAGTTTTAGCATAAAAAGGATTTGATTATGAACTGAAATGTTTTTTTAAAAGGGTTTCATAAAAGAGTCATTGTAAAAATATGTGTGGATGCGATTACTTGTGTATAAAGCAACATGATCATATTAGAGGGTGGGAGTTCACCCTGAGTGTGTGGAGATATGTGTGTGTGTGTCAAAAATTCACATGATTGGGCTGGCACTATGGGACATCCAGTGTAACATTATATTTGGGATTGTTACCATAAGACATTTGGGTAGTATGGTAACTCCCTAGTACTCGAAAGAATGCGGTTAGGAGTCAATAACACCCTTATCATGTGTGTGTGTGTGTGTGTGTGTGTGAAAGGGGGAATCCCTAGTTTGAAAGTGAGTTAGAATACCTTGACCGAGTGTTTCTACTACTAAAGGTATACTCAGACTAATATGTGATTGGTTCCATGGAGTTTATGAGTTTA